CAATGAGGGTTTTCGCGTATGAAAAATCCGCCAGATGGCAATACGTAGACGCGAGGTCCAAATGCTGCATGATTGGTTATTTTTGACATGACATTGACAGATATGTCAAAATCCACCAATCACGCAGCAGTCAGACCCCACATACCATGAAGCTAAAGATAAAAATGGAGGCCAGACTTAGAATACCTACTTGAAGCACAACCTATGTATCACTATCTCGCTCTCTGTGGGCAGGCTCTCTCTTTCTAAGTAGGGTAACCTTTTATTTATTTTTCTCAGGACGACAAAGACTGATTTACGTTTAAACAGTGTGTCTTGATAAAGTGCACTTAATATGATTATGAAAAAAGGTTTTCGATGTTTTTATTTTAAGATGAATTACAACATTAAGAAAGTGTAAAGGCATCGAAAACTGTGGATATTTGATAGAAAACAGATTTTAATTTGGCAGTTGACAGACGGATTTGGATATGGATTGATTACAGTAAACGGCCGTAGAAAACATTATGCAAAATTAGATAAGTAAGGTCCCACAGAAAGTCCCAGATATATCCTCAATATGGTCATACTACTTCAAAATGTCTTATAGAAACAAAAATTTTAAATTTGCTCAAAGTCAATGAAACTCAATGTAAAATCTTCTTTTTCTTGACATATGTAACATTTAATAATAAGTTTAAATACTGGTAAAACGTTTTAGGAAGTAATTACTGTGAAAATACAAAGAAATATGTTAACAATGATCCACTGTCAGAAATCACGAAATAAACACTTACGCGTGGAATTTTATATCACTTCCAGGACAACACGAACTACCGCAACCACGCACTATACAATTTTGCACCATTTCTTCAGACAAAACAATGATAAGGTCCCTCACAGAATAAGTAATAGTACAGGTACAGAAGGATTACTCCGCAAGACGATTTAAATAAATGCGAGTCTTGCTACGACGCGATACAGTGGAATTCAGCTCGCACAGCACTACGTACCTACAATTTTATTCACCTACAAGTTTTGTCTCTTTCTATCGCGTGCCTCTGAACTCTTCTTACGTTGTTAGGGTTGCTGTCTAGTGAAAAATTAATTAATCTACTTATATGTAATGAGGTACGTATGTAGGTAAGTACGCATTCATTATGGAAAACCTTGGGAGAGGCCTTTGTCCAGCAGTGGACGTCATTTGGCTGAAACGAACGAACGCATTCTGAGCAGTAGTCATGGTAGGTTAGGTTCCTATACTATCCTAAGAATTATTGATTACCTACATGACCAACATACCTTTCAGCATCTTTGGGAAGCGAAAAAAAAAGATAAATCCGGTGTAGGATTTCTTTCCGAATTTAAACACCCGAACCCCGCACAATATTTATTTCTCTTTATGTCCATTTTTAAATAATACTTCGATCATAGAATTAGGTACATACTACAATGCACGCCAGCGTCCTGACTGGCCCGCGCGTGACACTCGACTGATATAATACCCGCCGGCGGGGCGCTTCGCTGTAGGTAATTATCGGATGTACCGCGCGGAGTGAGCCAGGCCTGCTCGCACTTTATAAAAAAAGTGTATAAAAGAGAAAGATATATAGTTCCAAAATACTGGACTGTCCTGTCGATGACATTGACAGTGGGGCGCCACCGTCAATACCGGATCGCTGGTTTAGATTTTTGCCATGTTGGAAACCTTATAATTGAACGATGGTAGCGCCCGGCCCCCTGTCATTGAGTTTGGTGGGACAGTTCAGCGTGGGTCATCTATACTTGTCTCGGTGACAGACAAGTCACCCGTGTGCGCAATTTATTACGGAAATGACATCATTTACCGTGAAAATGGTAAAAACTAGACCGGAAGTAGACTCATCTCTCTCCATGCTGACTGCTTAGCCACGGACTTATAGATGACCCAAGCTGAACTGTCCCACCAAACTCAATGACAGGGGGGCGCTACCATCGTTCAACTATTTGGTTTCCAACATGGCAAAAATCGGAACCAGCGATCCGGTATTGACGGTGGCGCCCCACTGTCAATGTCATGCATAGGACAGTTCAGTATTTTGGAACTATACGAGGGGAGGCTGAAAAGTTTTGAGCCTAGGGTATTAAAAATGCCGATAGAAAAGTGTAAAAAATATATTTTTCTATTTAATCTCCCTCGGACTACAACGGACTTCTTACATTTGTGTAAAAGAGCTTTTAACCCACTGAAAAAAAATTCGCAATCTTTGCCCTCGAAATGAGCCTTTAACGCCGCCTTCCTTTCTTTGTCAGTGAAAAATCTTTGTTCCTGGAGGTCTTTTTTCCAATTTGAGAATTAGACAAAATAGCTAGAAAATCGGACTCAACTGTGTGGTGGGTGATTAATTTCTTAAAATCCAGTTTTACTAGGGGTAAGNCAATCGGTGCTTAATTTGGCCGGACATTTTACCGAAAAAGCCGGACACGCCTTTTTTACCATGCCACGGGGGGGGGGGGGAATGCATCATAGCTCATGAGTGAGTACTATCAACTATCATTTTCGAATTGGTAGCCCAACATCCTGATATGCGCCATGTTTGCTGTCGACTGACGCGGCCGCCACATAAAAAGCCTAAGAAAAGCCGGACAGGCCGGACAAGAGAAATTTTGGCCGGAGAAGTCCCTAAAAAGCCAAACATGTCCGGAGCCGGACACCTTGCAACCNCTTCGTTAATGGCGAAATCTGGCCGCCCTGACTTGCGGTCATCTTTTAGAGACTCCCTGCCATGCTTGAACTATCGGATCCAATATTTCATGATGGCAAATGAAGGCCCAGACTCCCCATAAACTGTAGACATCTCTTCAAATGTTACCGTCAGCGTTTTGTTCCTTTTTTGAGGAGTTTTATGACAACTGTGTACTTCGATTTCGTACATTGCGCGGATGACTGAGACATGATGATGTTTACTGATTAATTACTAAAAGCGTGATGAAGCTAATGAAATGAAACTTTGTACATATACTAAGGAGGTTATTGGCAAATTAAATAAATTGGAAGCGAGTCAATAATAGCACTTGAAGATACTTAGGCTCAAAACTTTTCAGCCGCCCCTCGTAGCATTGCATCGTGCATCGTCATATTATTATGCCGAACGACACTTTGGGTTCAGATAAACGCTCCAAGACGTTGACGTTTCCAAGACTGAACCTGAACCGTCCCGACTTTGATAGAAAGGGCGCTATGGAGTCGTTCCTTCCGCCACTTCTCAGCACCAGCCTATATGTTGTCTGAAACTAATGTAACTATTTGATTTGATTATTCGTATTAGTTCCGCCTTTTGCCACGTTGGACAACCATACGACATTAACAGCGGGGCGCTACTTAATACCATAGCTATGAAAAAAAAACGTGTCAGGTTTAGTAATATTATGTACCTAACCAACTTAGAAGTGAATATCCTGTAGCCTGTGCCTGTTAGAGATGCGTGACAAAACTAGTTAAATCCGTTTAGGCAAGAGCAAAAACTAAGCTAGATGTGTGGGATGGGGTACCACAATGGTACCTGCAGATGTCTACATACTAATAATTATGAAAATAAATCTGAACTATTACTGATCTACTCTGTTGGTTATGTGTCAGTGTTATTTGGGATATNCCATTCCCGATACTTTTAGTGCAGCCCTCGTACCATTACCATATTTTGGTCAGAGAATTAGCCTGGCCATTCAACGTGGCAATGCTGCCAGCCTTTTGGGCACGATTCCTGACTGCGGCGCTGGGGGTGAAGTATATTTATTTTGTAAATAGTTTTTATCATTAGTAATTTTTAAATTTTAGTTTTTAAGTCATTTTAAGTTAATGTATTATTATATGCGTGACAAAACTAGTTAAATCCGTTTAGGCAGGAGCAAAAACTAAGCTAGATGTGTGGGGTGGGGTACCACAATGGTACCCGCAGATGCCTACATACTAATAATTATGAAAATAAATCTGAACTATTACTGATCTATAGTTCCAAAATACTGGACTGTCCTGTCGATGACATTGACAGTGGGGCGCCACCGTCAATACCGGATCGCTGGTTCAGATTTTTGCCATGTTGGAAAATATAGTTGAACGATGGTAGCGCCCCCCTGTCATTGAGTTTGGTGGGACAGTTCAGCGTGGGTCATCTATACTCTGTTGGTTATGTGTCAGTGTTATTTGGGATATTAAAATGTTAGTATAAATTAAAACGACGTTTATGTTCCTGAAAATTTAATGACTTTAATAGAAGAATAACTAAATTAAAACAGCAAGATAGAAGAAAAAATCATTCATTATTAACATCATCTTTATCTGATTATGTTCAAGCAAAAGACCAAAATTAATCAATGACCTAACAAAATATACAACAAAAGTCATTAAATAATTAAGTCCAACCAATCAGTTAGTTTACTGCGACAACGATCGAACCAATACAAAGTATTACTGTTTCAACTTCACCATTAAAATGAACTAGTTACATAATACAACTTACAATTTTGAATAATATTGTGATTAAAAGAAAAAGCTAAATAATTCTTTCCTACTTATATAATGTGTAATAATATAAAGTGTCGACTACTTATAATATGTATAACTATGTTTAAATTTTCACACAAAGAGCGGAGCGAGGCAGGTGCGGGGCGTCGGCCGGCGGCGGCGGCGACGGGTCGCGACGGGCCGCGACGGGCCGCGACGGGCCACGGCGGGCCGCAGCGGGCCGTCGCCGTCGCCCGCCGGCCGCAGCGGGCCGCACCTCCGCGCGCGCTCGCCTTATGCCGATACACACCACAATCTCGCTAAACACTAGGTCACTTATGCCGAATGTTAGACAAATAAGAAAGCGACGACTTCCCGAACCAAAATTACAGTACTAACAATTTGCAGATGATGTCGATCCATGTCCGGGCTTGGCCGGGGCCGCCGGGGCCGGGCCGGGCCGGGCCGCGGGCCGCCCGGGCCGAGCGGGCGCGGGGCCGCCGCCCCGCTCCTTGAGCGTCAGCTTACGATTGTTATCTCGATTATGTGAAGCACGCTATGCTCTCCTTGGAATCGTAACAATGTAGCTTTTTTTGGAGTTTAATTTTTTTACAATATATAGGATTTGTTTCTATAATTAATTATATCTAATATTTACAATGGAGGTGAATGGACATATTCAAACTCTACTTATAACCTCGAAAATTAATCCTGAAATTCCTACCCGAAACGAACATTATCTACAACTTTTAATAAAAATTTAAAAGTAAACTCTCGCCACAAATAAATCTAAATATAGTAACAGATCGAGTTTGCATTTCTGATTGGGTCGTTTTGAAATCAGTAAAAGTTTATAACGCAATTTATTCGGAAAAGCTGCGACCGGAGCCCGAAAGTCTGTCGAGGTGGCTAGCGAGGCCGATGACACGCCACCGATGTCATCAGTNCCATCAGTCAAATCGTATCGTAAATGAGAGACACAAACTCGATCGAATGTTTATTTAGAGTAAATCATAAAGGTATGTATGCGCGGTGCGGTGAGGGCCGGGCGGGCGGCTCAAGCGGCTCATATCTTGTGTATCTTCTGCGACACGACGACGGGGTTGTTGCGGCGGATCTCCTGCGCGCCCAGCTCCCGGTAGTCGAACGAGCACTCGTGCTTGTCGCTGTACCGGTGCACGGCGCAGAACAGCCCTCCGCAGCGGCACTCGAACCCTGCCCAACCACAACCACCGATCAGACCTAACCCAGGTAACCCTCCCAGCGTTCACATGCTATGTTTTTGTTTTATACCAGTGGTTCTTAACCTTTAAGTCATGAGGGACCATTTTACCAAACTGTCTTATCAGGGACCACCTCATAATCGGTCAAAAGTAAACCAGTTTTACTGCAAAAATCAGTTAAAAGTGGTTTTGACCAAGGTGTGCAAGTGCACTTCGTGGACCACTTGGAATGCCTCCAGGGACCACCAGTGGTCCGCGGACCACCGGTTAAGAACCACTGTTTTATACAAATAGCATCATCTTAAAAATCATTTATATCGCTCGAATTTTTAATCTCGAACCGAAATAAAAATGTATTTACTTGAAAAAAGTAAATTTTCAATAACTTTGAAAAATTTATACATTCATTCAATTGGGATACCTATTTTAGAAAACTTAATTGAATGAAAATAATGTTCATCAATAACAAAAAAATCTTTGAAATTAATTTTGATTACTTTGCTGTTATTTCAAGTCTTAACCCAAGATCAAGGACCGTTTTTGTGCACATTGAGTGTGTCCATAAAAGCAATTGCAAAAGTCAAACGTTTTAAAATGATGAAATGTGTTGCAACAATATCATAATAAGAATCAGTTAAAAATTTTCCTTAGTGATAAAAATGCTGAAGTGTAATAGAAGAGATAACGTGACGCAAATCTATTTGCGTGTGGTATCACGAGCGCTTACTATTGATTTAGCAGATACTCCACAGCGGACGAATTTATGTGCCTATTTACTCGACTTCCATTCATTTCTATGACATCTTATCCATTCATGTCTATGACATCTTAATATCTGGTATATTTGTTCAAATCACTGAATGGGTTTAACCCACCCAGGTTAGGGTCAAAGATATCAAAACATAAATAATTGTGAGAGAACTTATTCCGTGAAGAAATAAACACCTCCAATGGAATATTTACATGTAAATAAGATATATGACAAAGAACGATTTAACAGTTATTTTCACAATCAACTAGGTTTGATAGATTCTATTGATCCATTTCATATCGCTACAAATACGAGCATGGAGAGTATTGGTAAAACAACAAGTTTGCTCACCGACGTGACTTGAATGACATTGCATTGCGTCAGTCGAAACTAAGACAACAATATGTAACACGTCTCGAAAATACCAGAGTCATGTAGAAAGTTTATGAATCGTTATCATTTCTGTGAATCTCATTACTCTCTACTTTTCGATATAAATGAAGGTATTATTTTAAAACAAAAAGATGCTGACCTGTGAGTCCAACCTTCTTGCGGCAGACGGCACACCTATTCTTTTTCTTTTTGTCCTTGCTGGGGTCTTTGTCGTCGGCGTCTGTGTCGGAGGTGCCTGTGCTCGTGCCGCTGGTGCCCGCTCCACTCTCCTCTTCCAATTTCTGAAATCGCATCAAACGTAACAATTACACCGAGATCAATAAAACCAATAAAATTTTAATCAGGGAAACCATAAAGCACGAATGAATGAATTTGAATCTATGAATACTCCATTCAACAACCAATTCAATATTCATTCACAGCCACACAAAGAGACATCCGGAATTTGTTGTAGTACAACTGAACTGAAGATATTTTAAGATATTCCAGATGCGTTGTGACACCCGCTTGTAGAGGAGTCACAGTAATGCATGTAACTACTATACAGCTGAGTCTATTACACAATGATGAATTAAATAACAATCAGTTGGAATAACAACAATGTATCAGTATACACGGCACATTGCAAGGGCACGTGAAGCTATCGTGAGAGCATGTAATCCATCTACGCATTAACTGAATTACTCGGCACAAAGGTACGATACGAGACTAGTAATGAAACGAACCCTCTTTAGACTCTTTTTATTAGGATCCATTTCAGAAACGCGGTCGTCCTTTTTCTCGAGTCTCGGGGAGTTTCGGCACTTGGAACCGTTTTTAGACGCAGTGGCCGATTCGCCAAAGATCTCGTTGCGGCTCTCCTGTATTTCCACAACCTTCTTCAATTTCACCTCGTCCGAGGGGCCGTCCTGGCTTGGAAATAGTTTGTCGTCTATTTTCAGCTTTTGCGGCATGTCGTGCTCGACTTTCTCCTTCATCCCGTCCGGCATCGGCAGCGGGGAGCTGTCGTTTATTTCGATGGACAGACGCTTATTTTCGAAACTCTTCGAGCGCGACACACCGACACTTTGTTCCATGGCGGAGCTCTGGCTGTTGTTGTTGGACTTACTATTGCGACGTATTGCTTTCTTCAGTATCCTTTTACCTTTGGACTCTTTTTTGCTAGGGTCATTTTCCATTATTAAGATTTTTTGTTGCTTTCAGGTTGGACATCTTGGCTGGAAATGCAAAGTTTTTATTGTCATGTGACTGTAAGATGCAAACGCTCTAATAAATTGATGGAGGAATCGAGCCCTACAGCACACAACGCTCCTACTTACCACGTCTTACGATGTAAATAAGCCCCTCATCTCAAAGTCTGGACTTGGAGATAAAAGGGATTAAAAATGTTACATTTTAAAAATTAACATGATAAAAAGGTGTATATTTTAGTTTTTTACTGTTAATCCGATACAAGTAAACCGTTTAGAAATAATATTTTTGTGACTTTGATTACTGTATGCAAAATGTCTATTTGACATAAAATTCGCATTTTAAAGTTTTTCGTGCAAACATAGACAATACTCAAAAAGTTTGTACGTCGCGGTATTGTCTTGGAGAACTCTGGATTTGGAGGAGTTGAATTAGTATCGAGACTACTTTAAAATTACTTAGGTATACATATATATTTCTTTCGTGCGTGCTGCTAATATTAGTCTATGTCTTTATTTCAATCATTTTAATAATGTAGTACGAAGACCTCGAGAGCCCAAGGCGAATCATGCCATCGTCCTAATATGAATAACTTGGACTCGAACTCGATAATAAGGCCCAGTCAGTCTGTTTTGTGGAGGAACTCCTCCTAAGAATATATAGTGAACTAGATTGGAGGTTTGAAGGCTATTTTTCTCATGAAATCCATCATGAAGCTGATAGTTGATAAGTTTCCTCCATTTTTGTTTCTGTTCAGGACGATTTTTAGAGGTGATAGTTTATTTTTAAAATTATCATATCGCTCCACTGTTTGTATTTGAATCATAGCATAGATTGTACTTAACTATCAGGCACCTAACCATAAACCAATAACTTTACAAAAACCCCAACGGCAAGGAAAGCAGGTAATTTCATACGCTACAGTCTCACAGTCATGCCATAACTAAGCAAAGCAGGAAGACCATCGACTAAATTACTTAAAACATACGTTGTTTTTAGAATATCTCGCAAATATCCTGGAAGCACACAGTCACCAACGGGACTGTAATAGGGATTGCCCAGCTGCAACTGTATGACTCATACCTAATAATATTAACATCAATATTTTCGAGAATCATGACGGAAATGGTTTATTTTTTACGTTGCCCATACGTAGTAGTCATAAACGATAAGATATTATTACAATGAAACTCACTCTACATATTAGCAACATTAATGCAAAACTAACAATGTGAATTGTTGGCATACAAGTAACAATAGGCCATACACGTATGACGAATTTATCAAAATAAATATGGACGACAGTAATGCCAAATAAACGCGAATTAGGTATATGGGACACGATATAATCTAAATACGTTTTATCGGGGAGTTATCAATTCATTTTGTAGGAACCTTAAATATGTTATCATTGAATGCAATGTGGCGCATAATCTTTTTTATAGCCGTTCTCAGTTAACGTCGCAAACGTGTGACGTAAGGTCTACCTAGAACATGCATCTTCCACTCTGATGCACAAAGCAGTAAATTTTACTGCTTTACTGAGTAAAGCGTCTGTCGCAAATGATAGCAGCAAGGTCGCTCACTCATTGTGAGACTGCTCCAGAACGATCGCTGTTACTATGCATATAATCATCATTTAAGAAGTGAGAAACGTGGATGGATGTTACGACTTGTGAAGAATCTTGAAAGCAAATTAAAAAATAGTAAGAACTTTAACATGTTGACTCTCAGAAATACGGTTATGCTTCTAACTATTGTCTAAATAATTCATAAGAAGCCAAAATATGCATAAGTAAATCTTCAAAAGTAGCTACATAGGTACTCAATCTCCACACAATATGAGATTCGTTGACACGCTGACCTGATTGTATCAAACTCAACTCTATGACGCATCATAAAATACATTGAGTCCAATGAGCGACAATATGACATTGAATGATTGTGATTTCCGTAGACGACATTAACGTCAGCTATAAGGAAACCCGGCGGAAGAAGTAGCGCCAATGTTTTATTAAAACTCCGAAGCCGTGCACTCGTGGATGACGTGGCTCTCACACACTACAACTATAATGATATAAGAACTCATTCGAAGTCGAGCGATGAAACTATGGTTGCATAAATGTCCAGCTATTTTAAGACTTGCATTTACTAACGTGCAGTCCATGCATGTTAAAAAGAAATCAGTCCAATACCGAGGCGGCCAAAATCGAGTAATACGTGCTCTCACTTATCTAAACGACAAGATAACAAATACGGCAGTCTACGCGTGTTCCAACTATGCCACACTAAACGAGGAAATACTGTGCAATGAGAATACGTGCATTAATACCGATTTATGGAATGACTGCATAGCAGCCGTCTTAGAACAAACCTGGCGTTACACATCCAATCTCAAACTGAAGAATATTCTAATAAAATTATTTATAGGCTTTCTTTGCTTTTGAGAATATTTTTTGGATATACCATCGTGAATGTTATTCAAAACAATTTGTGCATGAATTGAAAAATCGTTGCACGACGTATCCCAATGTAATGGTAATAAAAATTTCTTCTGATAAAAGCAATCATCTTAAAGAGAAAAATATAAATTCTTCCATTTAGGACTTTGTTAGTCCCAAAGGATCAAATCTATCAATAGATTGAATGATAGATTCGATCTTATCCTGGCAATTCTGGTTCAAGCGCAGCAGCTCAGGAAACAAGGTGCCATTATTGCCAGAGGCTATCACTAGTCGCAGATCAACTCTAGCCACGTATGGGCGCGTCTAGCGACGGCGACTTGTGCCCAAATATGTAGCACCGCTAAGAACGGCATAAAGCCTTGTTCACACTAGTCAAGTGATTTAGTAGAGCAACTCGCCTTTAATCATTAAACTAATTGCTACTGACCAAAAAATCGTTCGAAAAAACTTTGGTCGAGTACAGTTTACAAGTAATTGGTATTTTTTTTACTCGAGTATACGGGTGGTATACTTTTGGTTGGGACTCGTTTAGCCGGTGAGCGAGTAAGCTGGGACGGTGCTACTCGCCTGTCAAAATTGAAAAAAATAGATTGGCTCGACTAAAGATAGCATTCGAATCAAGACGACCGCGACCCGAGACCGCGACCGGCGACCGGTCGCAGGTCGCAGGGCGACAGCTACTTACGAATCTTCGCGACACGAGTCGTGCGACCCATACGAAACTCAGTATGTTAGAAGTTACTAAACTACTTAAACGGTTGAATTCCATCCATCTGTAAACAATAAAAATAAGTACCTTTTCTAATAAAAATATGTATCATTTGAACTTACTTGTTTTATTTAATGCTTTTCCAATTTTTTCCCAAATATTGTCTCTCACAGTATTATCTTTATAAGCTTGAAATCTCGTATCGAATACAGGTGCGTTTTTACTTACTAATTCTATTAAAATTTCGTCTTCGTGCAAAGAAAACACGGCCATTTGCATCTGTCGCGCCACGGCACTGCCTTGTGAGCGACCGAGTCGCGCGACGCAAGTAGCCGGCAGGCCACGCCCACAGGTCGCGCGACTCGGTCGCTTGCATCCGTCAGCACTTCCTATTAATTCATATAAAGCAGTGGGTCGCGGTCGCCGGTCGCGGTCTCGAGTCGCGGTCTCGCGTCGCGGTCGTCTTGATCCGAATGCTACCTTTAAGGGTGGATTCGACCAAACAAGAGTAATATTAATTTCAGAATAAATCGTCAGTTTTGACATATTTCCCATACTGAAACTGTCAATATGCCAGTTATACCAGGAGTTATTCTCGTATAAAAGTTTGGTCGAATCGGGCCTAAACGATTTAGTAACCCACTCGACTAAATATTTAGTGTTCGGACACGTTTAGCTACTAAATTCTTTTAGACCTTAGCGCAAGATTTTCTTTTTTATATTTCTTGTAATGTCACTATTTTTTCTGCTTCTCTTTTAAACATTTTGCTCTATGTGTTTTGCAAATAAATCTTTTACCTATCAATCTAAATGACTCGTCACTCGACTAAATGACTCGACTAGTGCGAGCCAGGCTTAGGAGTTGCACCACCTAACTTTGACCGAACTATAACGATAACCGGTGCTTTTTGTATTGAGTTTGGCAGATTTTTGACGTTTTTCAAAGTTAAAGTAAGATGGTGCAACCCAGGCAGCAGGGCCGGATCTACCTATGGGCTGATTGGGCTGCAGCCCAGGGCCCCGGGGTTACAAGGGGCCCCCAGATCCCGCTAAAAAGTAGGCCATAATTTGAAGAAAAAAAAAAGTTGTCTGTAATGTCGGTTTACAACGTTGACAACGTCATAAGAAAATATTGATTAAAAACGTTTCATATATTTTTGGTCCAAAATCAAAAGTGCCGGCCAAAAAAAAAAGGTGCTGTATACTGACAGAATACGTCTGCCTTAACATTTGTTACAAAGCTGTAGCACCACTGTGCGTCGAGTTATTATTATTCCTTTTTATTGTTTGTAGGTACTCATGGTGCATTTTTTTGGGTATGCAGTGTATATGAACGACAATAAGTACATCGTGTTAACCAAAACATATTAAAAATGCCATGTTTCGGCAAGATACTTCATTTGTTTTAGTAAATAGTTTAATCGTAAATGTTAAAAAGACATACTTTTAGAACTCAAATACTACGATGCACAGTGGTGCTACAGCTTTGGTGCCATAGTACGAGGGCGGCACTGAAAATTTCGGGAATCAAGGAAGTGAAACAACATTACTATTTAAAAATGTATTTATTGCTTTTTAAAGTATTCTCCGCGAAATTTGACACATTTTTCCATACACGAAACCAATCATTGAAGCAACCATTGCATTCGGAAGTTTGGGTCTCCAAAATGGCCGTTTTGTAGGCTTCCACAGCTTCTTCAGGTGATGAAAATCTCTGACCACGCAATTTATTCTTTATTTAAGGGAAAGTATAGAAATCATTAGGGCTTAGGTCGAGGCTGTACGGCGGATGGACTAATAATTCTATGTTTTCTTGCTCTAAAAACTCCTTTGTTCAGTGCGCGGTGTGAGAACTCGCATTGTCGTGATGGAGGATGATGCGGCGGTTGCAGTTCTCTTTACGGAGTTCAGAAACGACCTGTGGCAAACAAATGCTAGCATACTAATCTGCATTAACCGTTCTTTGTCCCCCAAGAGGAATAGTCGCAACATGGCCGGTTTTGGAGACAAACGTGGCCACCATTTTTTTTGCAACACTCCGTGAACGAACAATTTTTGTTGGCTTTAATTCATTTTCGAACACCCAAACTCGTGACTGGTTTTTTGTTTCGGGTTCGTACGCGTATATCCATGATTCGTCACCTGATACGATGTTGTATACAGCATTTGAGGATCCTGCATGTAATCTCCCGAGAGTTCTGACGCACCAAGTAACGCGAGCCNCGGCAAATTGAAGAAGTCAAATCAATTCCTAACTCGCGCTTTATAAAAAGTGTAGATTCCGTGGAGGGTAGTTGAACGGGAAACATGGTCGATCTGTTTTAATGGTTTCAATTTATTATTTAATGGACTTTAGTGTACAAATTTGGTGTTATTTTGTGTTCTAAAGTGCAGTGAAGTGATAAATTATAAAAAACATTGAAATACTTCGAATTTGAGCGCGCATCGAGTGTCGAGTGGGTTGTCGTATGAACAACCCGCTTTGGACCCGGTGGCGTCTTGAAACCTGCTTTCGGGCATACTTAACTCCACGGAATCCATGAAACATCAATAGAACTGAAACACCCACGTTCTATTGATAACTATGTCAATTTTCACTCGACATTGGCAGAAATAAACCTCCCAGAGGTTTGGTTGCCATTAAACAAAAAAAAAAAGTGTATAAAAGAGAACAAGTCAGCCGTGTGCGCAATTTATTACGGAAATGACGTCATTTTCTGTGAATGGTAAAAACCGGAAGACCGGAAGTTAGTAGACGCATCTCTCCATGCTGACTGCTTAGCATTGCGTCGTGCATCGTCATATGCCGAACGACACTTTGGGTTGAGTTATAAACGCTCCAAGACGTTGGCTTTTCCAGACTGAACCGTCCCAGCTCCCAGCTATGACTTTGATAGAAAGGGCGCTATGGAGTCGTTTCTTCCACCACTTCTCAGCACCAGCCCATATGTTGTCATACCAAAGTGGTAGTAGGTCAAGCTATATTGGGACGTGTAGGGGTATGTTATGTACTAACCCGGGAAAGGGCCTATGTACTGAAACTATTTGATTTGATTATTCGTATTAGTTCCGCCTTTTGCCACGTTGGACAACCATACCACATTTACAGAAGGGCGCTACTTATAATACGAGGGNATAAGTAGCTACATAGGTACTCAATCTCCACACAATATGAGATTCGTTGACACGCTGACCTGATTGTATCAAACTCTATGACGCATCATAAAATACATCGAGTCCAATGAGCGACAATATGACATTGAATGATTGTGATTTCCGTAGACGACATTAACGTCAGCTATAAGGAAACCCGGCGGAAGAAGTAGCGCCAATGTTTTATTAAAACTCCGAAGCCGTGCACTCGTGGATGACGTGGCTCTCACACACTACAACTATAATGATATAAGAACTCATTCGAAGTCGAGCGATGAAACTATGGTTGCATAAATGTCCAGCTATTTTAAGACGTGCATTTACTAACGTGTTAGCCGTGCAGTCCATGCATGTTAAAAAGAAATCAGTCCAATACCGAGGCGGCCAAAATCGAGTAATACGTGCTCTCACTTATCTAAACGACAAGAAAACAAATACGGCAGTCTACGCGTGTTCTAACTATGCCACACTAAACGAGGAAATACTGTGCAATGAGAATACGTGCATTAATACTGATTTATGGAATGACTGCATAGCAGCCGTCTTTAGAACTAACCTGGCGTTACACATCCAATCTCAAACTGAAGAATATTCTAATAAAATTATTTATAGGCTTTCTTTGCTTTTGAGAATATTTTTGGATATACCATCGTGAATGTTATTCAAAACATGTTGTATGCTGTTGAAACATTGTTAAACAAATAAAATAAAATAAAACAATTTGTGCATGAATTGAAAAATCGTTGCACGACGTAACCCAATGCAATGGTAATAAAAATTTATTCTGATAAAAACAACCATCTTAAAGAGAAAAATAGAAAGTCTTCCATCTAGGACTTATTTTTGTTAGTCCCAAAGGATCAAATCCATATCAATTTGAATGAAAGATTCTATCTTATTCCTGTCAATTCTGATTCAAGCTCAGCAGCTCAGGAAACAAGGTGCCATTGCCAGAGGCTATCACTAGTCGCAGATCAACTCTAGCCACGTATGGGCGCGTCTAGCGACGGCGACTTGTGCCCAAATATGTAGCACCGCTAAGAACGGCATAAAGCCTTGTTCACACTAGTCAAGTAATTTAGTAGAGCAACTCGCCTTTAGTAACTAAACTAATTGCTACTGACCAAAAAATCGTTCGCAAAAAACTTTGGTCGAGTACAGTTAATTTACAAGTAATTGGTGTTTTTTTTACTCGAGTATACCACCCGGTTGGGACTCGTTTAGCCGGTGAGCGGGTAAGCTGGGACGGTGCTACTCGCCTGTCAAAATTGAAAAAAATAGATTGGCTCGACTAAGGGTGGATTCGACCAAACAAGAGTAATATTAATCTCAGAATAAATCGTCAGTTTTGACATATTTCCCATACTGAAACTGTCAATATGCCAGTTATACCAGGAGTTATTCTCGTATAAAAGTTTGGTCGAATCGGGCCTAAACGATTTAGTAACCCACTCGACTAAATATTATTTGGTTTTCGGACACGTTTAGCTACTAAAGTCTTTTACACCTTAGAGCAAGATTTTCTTTTTATATTGCTTGTAATGTCACTATTTTCTCTGCTACTCTTTTAAACTTTTTGCTCATGTGTTTTGCAAATAAACCTTTTATCTATCAATCTAAATGACTCGTCACTCGACTAAATACTCGACTAGTGCGAGCCAGGCTTAGGCTGAGTTGCACCACCTAACTTTGACCGAACTATATCGATAACCGGTGCTTTTTGTATGAAGTTTGACAGATTTTTGACGTTTTTCAAAGTTAAAGTAAGATGGTGCAACCCAGGCTTAGTATCGAATAAGAGAATTGTGGCCTCACGTCTGTATGCGCCTGCGGCTGGGCGGGGAGAGTGGGCACGGTGGGCGCGGCGGCGGCGAGCGGCGTGGGCGCTGCCGGCACGAAGGGCGCCGATACGGGCGACGGCGTCGTCGCTGGGGGTTGCTGTTTCTTCTTTAGTGCCTCCTGGAAAAGTTAATTTTTCTGTCAGAACTTGACCTTCATTTGTTGGGCTTTTATGGCGGTCAAGCTGTAGATCCGGGCTACACAGGTACAGAACTATTCGTCCCTTGTCAGAACACTACTACTAGAACGAATACAGATTAAAACAACCTTATGTCAACTGTGTGCGTACCATGAGTTAACAATAGGTGTGTTTGCTCGCTAGCGACTGCGTAAAAAAATTACATTGAATGAAGCGGCTACTTTCAAACTAAAATCTTCATAGATTTTTTTTTGACGCTCTCTCTAGCGAGCACACCTATAAACGTAAACTCATGGTAAGCACACTGATACACGCACAAAAAACACGTTATAATGTAAACTATTGCACAATGCTATCGCATGAAATAGGTACATCGTTAGTCCAAGGCTGATTGTGGTCAATTAATACAATGTGACAATGACAGAGGTGATTGTGGTTCGTATGCTAGAACAAGAATCCACTTACTTGATTTACATTTGTGTATTTAAAATGATTTTATTTCACATTTTCTCGTACAACAATGAGCATCCCATCCCATTTCATAGTTTTTAAAATTCAAGCTCTCACCACTTAGCCATCGAGAAAGGACGATACGCTGACGTAGATATACATGTCACATACTGCGAACGCCTAGTTACAGGCGTAAAGGTCATCATGACGAACGAATGCGACGTGATTTCTCTAACTTCAGAAATAACACGTAATGACGTGAAAACGCTGCGTTAGCTGCTGAAAATCTTCTAAATCGTGGCGAGGTATTTGGTATTTTGTGTCACCCATTTTCATTTCCATTTCCAATCTCCAATGAATCACATCTTGTCTAGGCATTCGTCAAAACGGGATCATAATAATTTATCGATATTTACCACGTAGCTCGCAAGAAAGTTATATCAATTAGTGGCTTAAAGCATTGAGAGATAAATTGGTGTAACTGCACTACACGTGTATGTAGTGCGCCATATTCTCGCAAGGACGTCACGGCGGCGCGTTAAGCACTTGTTAGTGTCGTAAACCAGTTCGCATGGTCTTGCCTCGTTGTTTCCTTCCCAGACTAGTTCTGTTTTTCCGGTGACGCATTTGCTCTCCTTTTTAGCTTAAAAAAACCATAGAGATTTTCCGAGTAGATTTTTCTTCTTGAAAACTCTACCCTCTATCCCAGTAAACAATTTCCTCCAAAGGCAGGTCTCACAAGAGGAGATACAGTTATTATTCCTCTGCTAGAAATTGTTTAAAAAGAATAAGTCGAAACGTATTTTCTTTAGATTTCTAATTGTTGTAAACACAATAATAAAACTATTTCACGACGAAATNTACGAAATGTAATACATAAACAGTAACAAAATCGACATAATATTAAATTTCAGCCTTCACTAACAATAATTAAGACGTGCCGTCATCTTAGCTGTATCGATGTTTTCGTAAAGGGAAATAGGTAAATACCTTTTTCCCGTTACTTTATAAGTCGTCCCGTAACTGTATAGCATTACGTGCACTGTTCAATGACGAAGTAACGCATGTAGTACCTAATAATCTACGCAGACTTACACAGTTAGATATTTTAAACCCAAATAATCTCCCTTAATTAAATTAAGTAGGTTGTATAATAAGTACCTACTAATAACACTAACGAAAGTCTGTGGTTCCTACTAAAATAACTTGTACGTACTAACATCTCCTTTTTTATATGAATTAAATGATAATAAATATATTAATAGGTGCATTCTTAACGCTAAACGCATAGTTAATATTAATAATGAAATGAGATAGGTATAAGGTACATAAATAACTGATCATAACAATGAGGAAATGATAAAATCCAGTGGTGAATAGTGATACAACCAACCCGTAAAATATTGTTTTTAAAAACATAATGAAATCTAGAACGATATTGGCTTGTGTATGATAATGATTTCAACAATAGACTCTGATTCTGTAAGTATGCATATACTACAGAAGACTGATGCCTTGACTCGTGAGTCGCTCACATTCAATTGGCAGATCTTAATCATGCTTGCCAGTTGTGTGTCGGAATATGAACTCTACATGCAACCTACACCTTCGTTTTTATAGCAAAAACTTCAAAGTCACGAATTATTAAGCAAATTTTGGGCAAGACCTTCGACTTACCTTGAAGCATACTGAGCAGAGACCATCTGTTGACGGGTTGCCGTAGAACCCACACCCAGAACGGCACAACGCCTCCATAGGATTTGATTCACGCTCCATTGTTCCACAATAATTTCACTTCAGTCTAACAATTATACACTTCACTCGTAGTCAAAGTACGATTGCACTAATTGTATATTGCACTTGATTGTCGTAACACTATGTCCACAATGATCTCACTGTACAATGTGCTTGCACTTGAAACGTTTTAATTTAGATTTATCTCTGGCTTGCAGTCTCCGCGGTTGGTGGCTTTCCTTGCCTCCGTGATCCAACTGTTCCTTCTTTGTCAGGATCGTTGAGGGCCCTGCAACAAGAAACACATTCAAAATCAATCGCCATCCTTAAGAGACAAAAGAAAAATCACAAGAAAACTAAGTAGAAGCACAGAATAATAATAAGTACTACGTACAGAAGTTTTACTTCGCGAAGGTATTTAAAAAAATGTATGCTCAATGTCATTAACAACATGGTGTAATTTAGCCTGTCTCAAGAGTCAAGCACCATTTTGTTGACAAACGTCAGTGATCGGCACTGCGCCGAAGCTATAGGGCTGACTTCGGTAAAATGATGTGACGTGAGGTGCCAAACTGCGGAAAATGGCGGAGGAAATACATGATTTAGCATGAATTATCATGAATAATATTAACTACTTATTTACCTCTCAGTGTCTTGAGGCAACTTAAAAAAGTACATTCTGTGTTTTTATTATCATTTAGGCAGTTAAATACTGCACAGTATTTAGTACATCATTTTCTTTATTTTCTTCCATCATACACAAGAATACGCGTGCGTGAGTCAATGTTCGCTCGTATGTGAGGCCTTGTCGAATAGTATCCATAGTAGTAGGTGGGCCATCGTGCGTGTTTTGTTTTCGATATAAACTCGCGGAGATGAACAGGCCTGGTAGAAGTAACTACGTATTTCTGCATTGCATGACTTTGTTGTCATTTTTTAGAATGGAACAGTTTTCTCAGTAAATGATGCGTTTCGCAACATATTTGCGTAAATCTTATACCAAGGTAAACTTAATAACAGGCAAGACCTTGATCGTGAGTTTTACATGACCATTACCATTAGTTTGAAACTATATCCTATGATTAGTTTCAGACAAGAGTGCGTGATTATTCTGATAGAAAGTGGAATCAAGGCGTGGAATACGATTTCGTAGAGGTAAAACATAATATGCATAACGACAGGTTTGCGTAACAAGAGAGAGCTACACGGCTAAAGTGGAACGCGCCCGCGAAACGGAGCACCGCGCCGTCCCGCCGCAAGGTCGCCGCTTCGCCTCTGGCCTGGGACACTACTAAACACACTTAACGCCTCGTGGAAACACGAAATCAACAGCCCACGGTTACACAAAACTCCAACCCAATCACCATGGTGATTTCTATCCGACGCAAGACGTGACGCCATAAATATCACCGACTGACTTCGAACACTCGTCGTCAACATTTGGCTAAGCGCATGGGCCGCGGCAAGGTGAAACGGATTGCATCGATAGTTAAGGTTAAATAATTTAGTACCTACTTAGTAATCTTTTACATAGCGAATTAGCGACGTATGAAACAAAAATTGTCACGATTGCCATTTCTCGCATTATTAGTACGCAAAACTATTAATGATTAGTTTCTGCAAAATAGTCGTCCACGTTTACGAACCGAAACGTACGATTCATCATACCTATACGACCGTTAGCAGAAATACATGCTCACAAAAACGAATGCCCTTTCACGTCATAGCTACCAGATGATTCATATAACAGTTCGTCCCGAGAGAGTCGTATTTTTATGACGCACTTGTATTTATTCAGGATTCTTGACATTCAAACAGTCAGAAGAATTCATAATAATATTACTGATACAGAGAACATGAGTTTTAACAGACTTCTTCCTCTATTACGTTCTCCCTCTAATAAAGAAATTAATTACAACTACATTATCTTAATAATATCCCAGGTGTTAATTTCCAATACCACAAAATTTCAGTAAATATTCGTTATTTGCTTGTTTGATAAATAAATTGAATATCTAGAACTCAAATTGATACAAACTTCCCACCCGAAATAGAGCCAAAGTACATATTATCGAGATAGGCACACCCAATTGAAACCATAAGAATGAATGCATGGACAATAAATCATTCAATAATGACACCAATACATTTAGAACGCGCGGCGAATAGGATCCGATAGAATGAGTCGTGTAGGATAACGTTTCATTATCCCGCTCTACGGCGATGTAGCACGGAATGTGTACCAATGATTGCAATTATGAATCTTGGGAGTGGAGAGCGTGCACCGGGTGAGGTCATTAGCATTGGGCTCGGACGGGAGTCATCGACCGGCCAGCACGCAGGGGTGCAAGCGTCGGCGCCCGCGCATCTACGCTTTATTACACACTCGACATGTCTATAGCGCAATCCTTACAATGCAAAGTCCAGTTTCACGCGTGACCAAGAACAGCTAAAACGAAATAGCCCACAAAACTATTCGCTTACGTTAGGTACTAGTTTTGCACACTTTCACTGCTTACTAGTTTCGCACACGTTTATGAAATAAAAGATAGATTAAAGAGAACTCAACGTGCAACACTATATTTGTCTTTTAGTACATGTAAACTACACAATGTATTTTGGCAAATAGATAAAAATGTAAGCAAAGTATACAAAAATAATAATAGAGGGTGTGGTAATCTCTGATCAAGTTATTTCCTTGGCCGATCTAAGTATCTTATGGATATTCAGTAGGAAATTCATAGTAATTAAATGTCAATATGGTTTTACCCCTGAAAAACTATAAAAGAAACTAACACTAGGAAATAATAAAAAGCCTGCAGCGCCCATGAGTGCGATCTAACTGTATTTCCCTATAAGGGGGTCTGACGAGACCTAAGATGTGTAGAGTCATAGAGAGATCTAACTAATGTAACCCGTAAAAGCTTAAAAATAATAAATTCCACTATATCAGAGAAAGCACAAGCATAAGAAATTATTACTGCTTTAATTAACTATTATGCCTCGTCAAACACAATTACAGATTTCAGGATTTGGCAGTCAACTTCTTTCATTTGAGAGGCGTTAAATAAAAAAGAAAGTTAAATGTATAGATTCTTAATGATAAAGATACGCATGGCCAACTTTTGAGCAACCGAAAATTTCACAGTTGGTATAACAGCAAACTCGTAAACAAAGCAAATAATTTAAAAGCGCACAATATCGCAAGTATATAAGTATGCCAAGGCGACTAACGAACACCGTCCAGTCGGAAACGTGATGTTCAATTATAGCATTACGGTAATAGCGATATCCAAACTCTGATGCCAAATTAACAGCGGATTGAACATTTAACTAACAATAGTTTACTTTAAATATTCTCACGCAATCTTGTCGTGATTAATTAACAATNCCCGGCGTCAATGACGCTGGGTCATATTGACCCGAGGCATTCTCAAACGTTCATAATTTTTTTTTGCGTCCATTTTGTGGTTCCAGCGTTCGTATAGCTGGAGATACAACCTCCCTAAGTCCATTTCGTTAATTAACTCAGTGTGACTCCGCTTGCGTAGCGAGATACACAGGCTTCAAATTAAAACGGGTCATTATGACCCGGCGTCATCGGTGGCGCGGTGATTTTTTGGCGTACTTTTATTCGCTTATTTTGTGTTCAGTGCTAGGTTATGTTGTTCTTTTTTAAGTTTTAGTCAAAATGACTTTGTTAAATGACCCAGCAAGAATGAAGCGCTGCTAGAATGGTCGGATTCCGAGAGTGAAGAATTTCAGGCTGTAATAGCCAAAACTTAGAAATGGCAACGAATGTGAAAAAGACGCAAGTAAAGTGGACTCAGTATTTGGATAATCTCGACCTTGCATTAGTACGATGCCGGCAAGAGCGTCATGCCACATTTACATGCCCAGACCATTTGATTACATACTGCACCAGTTGCAGCAGTTCCATGGCTCTGAATGATGAAGTAGAAGACTGATCTCATTGTATTTGCATTTAAAAAGTTAATTTTATCTCTTTTTCACTATGTAACATCGCTGATTCCTATAAATACTAAAAATCTTTACCAAAAACAAAAAATATAGACTCATTGTGTTTTTAAACATGATTTTTTCATGTTTTGTTTAAAAATTAATAAAAAAATGATTTATATTATGTATTAGTATTATTTTTGTTTTATTAGCTCAGTAAAGAACCCTATAAACATAGACAGTAATTAAAATTAAGAATACTTGTTAAATTTCCTGAAAAATGGTCGATGAAGTATGGGTCAATATGACCCGGGGTCATCGTCTTTGCAATTATTTTCACGTCATTGGCGCCGGGTTAATTAACAATTTTTTATTAACATTCGCGATTAGTCTCACGCTTGATCTTCTGTGAATGTGAACTTTCAAATGTTTGGCGAAACTATTAAAGCGTCTCCCGTCCACAGAAGTGTAATTAATTGACGTGATATATTTAGCTATTCTCACCTCGTCCAATGAGATGTTATGCAATGACAAAGTTCTTGACGGTATACCTATTTCGATAGTCTAGGACAAGATAAGGTCTAAGATAGTGTATCTGTGTGGGTATAATCGCGGTCGGGCGTCGTGTATGCGCCGTGCCCTCGTGACCCACTTGCGGAGTGCGCTACGCAATTTGAGCGCGACCCGCTTGCGCTGCAGACGCGCCGCGGGCCCGGCCCGGCCTCCTCTGCACCCTACACCACACACGTGTTCCCCGATTTTTTTGACGTCTCAGCTACCTCCCTCGAACTAATACACATTTTTGGGCTGCTAACGTTTTTATCTAAACTTTAAAATGGAAAACGTTTCCAAACTGCTTTCGAATCATTACAAGAAATAGAAATCACATAAAAGCTATTACATTTAAATAATGATAAAATGATTGGCGAAGTTACGAAACCATAATTATCATATTCTATAAATAAAAGCTTCCAGAGTTTTACAAACGCGTCAGCCTGTTAACGTCAATAAGGTTCAATATACGACTAGTATTCGAGTATTCGGGTCCACCTCCCACGGATAAAACTCGGCTCGAGATAGCGCGATGAACTTAAAATTAAAATTTAGGTTTGATGCTACAGTTCCAAAGCTGCCTCCGCACGAGTAGAAATGGTGCTCGATTTTTCTCCGGGTTGAAACAAAATACAGGTCTGACCACTCGATCAACGGTAACAGTAACGGTACGAAGCACAAATTTCGTGCAGTGCAAAGAAAAACACTAAAATCTGGCTCTCCGTGTAGGTTCTTCTATCTCTTGTAGTAAAATTCTGGACAATAATCAGTATTATT